CTTACTTTCATCAATATGTTGCTGCTCTTCTGGCCGAGACTTCCTTTCATTTTCTCCTTTAGACAGAGTATCTGTATCTACGTGAATATGTTTATGGCCATATCATACCTTCATTTGACACTGTGGAATGCATGGTTTAATTCGCCTGGAAAACTTTATTTTCTAGACTTTTGAGTCTTTTTTTTTAAATTTAATTTAATTTTATTATGTTATGCTAGTCACCATACAGTACAGCATTAGTTTTTGATGTAGTGTTCCATGATTCATTGTTTGCGTATAACACCCAGTGCTCTTTTGATTCTTAAAATGAAGTTTTAACCCATTTTTATTGTATAAGCTAAAAGAAATTTCCTTAGAATCAAGGGAAGACTGACTCGTGATGCATTTTGTATAGATTTTTCCTTTTTTAAGATTTTTTATATAACTTTTCCATAAGGAAATGTTACAAATTCTAAGACTCTATTTCCTATTAGTCAGCATATTCTTTTTTTAAAAAGATTTATTTATTTATTTGAGAGAGAGAGAGAGCAAGCAAGTGAGCACAGTGGGGAGGGGCAGAGGGAGAGGGAGAGAGAGTCTTCCAAGCAGGCTCCACACTGAGCACAGAGCCCGACATGGGGTTCCATCTCACAACCCTGAGATCACCACCTGAGCTGAAAACAAGAATCGGACACTTAACCGACTGTGCCACCCAGGTGCCCCTAGTCAGCATATTCTTTTTTTTTTTTTTTAAGATTTTATTTATTTATTTGAGAGAGAGAATGAGAGAGAGAGAGCACACGAGAGGGAGGAGGGTCAGAGGGAGAAGCAGACTCCCTGCCGAGCAGGGAGCCCGATGCGGGACTCGATCCCGGGACTCCAGGATCATGACCTGAGCCGAAGGCGGTCGTTTAACCAACTGAGCCACCCAGGCGCCCCCTAGTCAGCATATTCTTAATAAGCTGCTTATCTTGAGGGAAAAGTAGTGATTTTCTGGCAATCCTTGGTGTTGCTTGGCTTGTAGATGTATTGCCGTGTATCTGCCTTCATTTTCACGTGGCTTCTCCCCATGTGTGTCTTTGTGTCTACATTTCAACCTTTTTTTTTTTTTTAAGATTTTATTTATTTATTTGACAGAGAGAGACACAGCGAGAGAGGGAACACAAGCAGGGGGAGTGGGAGAGGGAGAAGCAGGCTTCCCGCCGAGCAGGGAGCCCGATGCGGGGCTCGATCCCAGGACCCTGGGATCATGACCTGAGCCAAAGGCAGACGCTTAACGGCTGAGCCACCCAGGTGCCCCTACATTTCAACCTTTTAAATAAAGATACTGGTCACGTTGGATCAAGGTCCACCCTAATGACTTTGTTTTAGCTTGATCACCTTTGTAAAAACCCTATGTCCAAGTAAGGTCACATTCGGAGGTACTAGGGGTTAGGGCTCCAACATCTCTCTGTGGGAGGACACAACACAATGCATAACATGGGTCAGAGTTATTAGCACTCACATTTGAAAACCATTAAAAAAAAAAAAAAAAGACTCTCACAGTGGTGTCCCAGGGCAGGTTGCAGTTTGTGTCTTGAAATGTCAGTGCTGTGATTTGGCCAGAGTGTTATCTGTACTTTCCTTATACTTTCTTTTCATAGTCAAAACTTCCTTTAATGAAAACATTTAACAAAGACAGAAACAGAGCTAATTCTTTTTTGGTGGCTTGATTTAAGAACAGTGAATAAAAGCCATGTTATTTAATGAGCTTCTCTATTCATGTATGTTCTCATTATGTTTACATTTTGGGGACATGTACTTTATCAGTAGCGAATTGATACTGAGCTACGTTTATTATTTGATGCTGCATTTTGCTTTCATTAATTTCCTTATTAAATGATAAGTAGCATTAAAGTCATGCTATTCTGAGTTTGCATTCTGAGACAGAGTGACACTGCATTATTGAACACTTTGACCCTTTCTTTTTAAAATTCATATTTCTACATCATCTGTGAAAATTGCCACACTTAATGCTCCCAACTTATGAGCAGGAGAAATGCAGACTGTAAAAGAAGGGGAAATACTGGAGTGTGAGGGACATATGTAGAGCAGACTGGGCTTGTCATGGAATCTATTTAAAATAATATTGCAGACATACTCAAGGCTTGTGATAAATGCTCTAGTTGGATTGTTTCACGTTATTCTTACAACAATTCTGTATAGCAAGAATGGTATATTGGCCAGGGTGGGCTAGGTTATGCTGAGGGAACAAACAACCCTGAAAGTTTATTTCCTGTTCCCATAGTGTCTGTTGTTGGTCCAGGTTACTCTCCAAGGCAACCGTTCTCCATGAGTCGGCTCAGCAGTCCAGTCTGCTTTGGTATTAAGGCACGCCTTATCAACACATGCCTCGTGATCACTGCATTATGGGGAAGAGTGGGCTGACAGTCAAGTGCCAGTGATCCCTGTGGGAAGTGATACCCATCCCTTTTGTCATATTTTATTAGCCAAAATAAGTCATGTGGTTATGGTTAATTTTAAGGGGTTTAAGGCAATGCAATCTTGTTGTGTGACTGGAATAGAAGAGAACCAGATATTCATGAACAATAATATGCCTAACTGAGATGATAATGCCTCCTTTTTGCAGGCATGGAAACTAGGGTTCAGAGAGGTTGGGTGACCCGGCTGGGGACATAGAGCTGCATAATGATGGGGCTGCTAATCAAACCTAGGTCTGTTTGACTTCAAAGATTATAGTCAACCACTTTGTGTCCGCCTTCTATAACAATTAATTGAGCTGCCTTGCAGATGGTGAGATTCAAATGGTAAAACTGATTGCTCCCAGATCTCCTCATGGGGTCCTCTTGCTAAGTGTTTATAGGAGATGGGGAAGAACTGATGATTGGTGAGTCTGCCATTGAGTCTAGGGTCTGGAAAAATATTCTGGACCCTTGTTCCTCTGGCCTGTCTCCTTTTACACCTCAGGATAACCTCTGAAGAAGCATCTGAATATTCTCAGTTAAAGAGAGAAGCCAACCAAGTAAAGGGAGGATTTTGCATTCATCTGCTTTGCTAGAGGTGAGGTGCAATGTACAGTCTTGTGATTATTAAAAAGATAGTAATGGCAAGTTAGACTTGTATAGCAATTTCTAGTCTAAAAAACATGTTCATCTATAATCTGAAGGTGTGAGCAAACCTACGTGTACTAATTGGCAGTGACATCATATCAGTGAGGTGTGATTGTCAAGACAGGCAATGCAATCCGAGACTGCGCAAATAAAAGAGCATTGACTGGCATGAAGGAGGGATCTAGAACACTGCAGCCAGATCTGAGTTAACTCCTGGCCCATCACCTGGGCAGATATCTTTGCCTCTTGAATTCTTCACCTATAAATCAGGAGCATAATGATGACTTCATAGAATCTGTGTAAAGAATAAATGAGGTAAGGCTAATGAAACACTTAAAACAGTGCTGGGTACCTAGGTCCAAGCTCAGTAAATGCTGGCTGCTGTTATTATTATTATTATGGTGGCTGTTATTGGGAGGATTTTCCAAATAAGGCATGTGATAATTAAGCTCTGTGTACAATGATAGATCATAGCAGAAATACTACACTGGATTCTGGAATATTACAATCACTATCACTAGAGGTAGTGGAATGTATTTTGAGGCCAGTAACCAGGATGGGGAAATTACCCAAAGGCCTCTCACATGGTTTGCTGAAGGAACTAGCAAAATCTCACCTGGAAAAGAGACACTTCAGCAGAGATCTGAGGCAGGGACCACTATTGTCCTTGGATCTTTGAAGGGTTGTCCTACAGAATAGGTTTTAGTCTTATTCCTTATGGAATTAAAAAAAAAAAAAAAACAGTACAGCTATGGAAGTGACAAGGGGAAGGATATCGATTTATTTGGGGACAAAGCTATCAACCATGGAACAAGACTGTCTCAAGTCTCAAGAGGTGGTGAGTTTGCCATCTATGGTGGTTTAAGCATTGTTTGGAGGGGTATTGACAGGGTCATGGGGACTCAAGCATCAGAAGAGTGATTAGACTAGAGAAACCTCAAATGATACTTAAAACTGAGTTCTGTGATTTTAATCCTGGATTCTCAAGGGGATGAAGCCTTGTGACAGTATTTTTACAAAGCTTTCCAGTTGATTCTGTTGTGCAGTCAAGTTTGAGAACCACTGTTCTAACTGAAAAGAAGTAGGTGCTATTGACACCCAGCTACCCATCTTAAAACTGTAGGTAATCAATTCTGAATAGCGAGAGAGGGTCATTCTGTGTGAGAAACCACTGAAGCAGGACAGAGTTTGGTTGGATTTGGCTTGGTTTAGCCCCACATTTTGAGGAGTCTGTCCAAACTGAAGCCTGTGATCCTTTTGGATAATCATTTGGGAAAAGGGTTGAGGTCCATGGTCAAGGTTGAGTGTCTGTGGCAAAACATCCCATGGGGAGAAACCAGGGATTGTAGGTGCTCAGGATTCAACTGTAGGGATCAGTCTATTTTTCACCCAAGGGAGCTTGCTATTTTTCATGTTTACTGGCTGCTGAGTGATTCATATGGTGCTGGGGGAGATGTGTTCAAATGAAAAGTGTTGCTTCTATGTAAAGTAGCTTATTACTTCCATGATATTCCAGCCTATTGATACAACCCTGCAGAACGATGCAAATTCTGGTGTGTGTGTGTGTGTTTGTGAGTGTGTGTGTTGGGATGAGGAGACGATGGGAGCACACATAGAAATGCATATTTCTAGGGCGTAGAGCATGCCTTCACACTTCCCTCCTCTGACCTTTATGCCAGAAGCATAAGAATGACCCATTGTCTGCTGGTCCCGGAGCTTAGTTGTTCCTAATCTTTGGACGCTCAATGGCTGAGCTGGCCTCCTGCCTGGCCAGTTGGCAGCTGTCAGGGTAGCCCCATGTATCCCAGATTTATTCCCGTGTGGCTTCTTCCTGCCCGATCCCTCATCCTCTGGCCTGGCATTTTCTCCATGACAGTCTGCCCCTGAACTGTCCTCGCTGCCGCTTTGGTAAAGCCTTGCAACGAAAGGGAGGAACAGCCACTGGCGGATCCAGTTTGCGCAAGCAGCATCAGCAATGGATGAGACCTCCCCCAGGCTGGAAGAAGACTGGAAAAAAGGCCTTCAGCGAGAAGCGAGCTGGCAGGTAAGTGATGTCCTCAGCTCCGGACGGACCCAGATCTCTCTCTCTCTCAACTCTTTAGCCCAAGTGTAGGTAATTCACATCAGTCTCTTTGCAGAACTGCATTATCTGCAGGCACATACATTTGGGAAAAGTCCTCATTAATTTCCATCTCTTTGTAAACCATGCAAATAAGACTCCAAATGCATTTACTCTACATTCTCAAGCAAGCTAATAGAGTTTTACAAATCTATAGATGTTGCTAAATTTATACTTTCTTAATAAAGACCCTTGAATTAACAAGTTGCAGGTGTATATCAAAGGAAGCATGCAGATTTGGTTTGTGTGAGTACAAGTTCATTGTAATATAAAAATTTAATACAACACCTGTCATCAGACTTACTTTATGGTGTTATAGTAGCTTGGAATAAGGGGCTTGGTTTTAACCTATTTTAATGAGGTGACCATTCTTTTAATGCAGCTTGCGTGCCTTTCTTATTTATGCTGAACTCATAATAGGTAGAAGCTCTGTGGTATGCAGAGTTCAAGCTAAAGGATTCATTTTGGTGTAGAGGCAGTTTTCATTAAAATATGCAAAACAGTAATGTTTATACGTTACAATACCTATTTCAAATTAGCAAAATTATATGCTCCTGTCTCGTAAGCTGCCAACTGAAATCCCTTCCTAAATCCTGTTGAATGGCTTTGATTACTCTTCTTCACATTACACATTACACACCTCTAATGCATATTTTTACGCATCCACTGCATTGCTATTTAATTAGACAACAGTATTGAAGAGCGAAGCCAGAGCTTTTTTTTTTTTTTTCTTAAATGCCGCTGCCTTATGGAGAAAGAACACTTCCATGCCTGAAGCATTTCTTTTGGGTGGTGTTGGATAAAGTGAAACTGTGATTATCCATTTTGTCTATAGCAGAAAGTTTCACAGAAAAAAATGGTGATTCAGGAATTAGTTGATTTTCAACATCAATTATAAAAAATAATTCTCTCTTTTTGTAAAAAGAGGGAAACTTTTCATAAAATTTCTCCTCTGCAGGAGAAATTTTAGAGAAATGTGGCACTGATATTGACAGGTATGTTCTGTTCTAAGCAATGTGATGTTAAGTAAGGAGCTCTGGAAAAAAACATCCTCCAGCCTGCCATGAAATTGGCATCCTTCCACTTTGAGTGGGAGCATTATTTAGGAAGTAGGAAGGGATACAGAATGAATCTCTGCATGCTACTTTGAGAATGTCATGTGGTGGGTCTCCAGGGGGCCTAAACAAATATTCAGATATTTTATGGTAGGTAGTTGTGACTTTAGGGTTTTTATCTTTTGTTTATGTGTTTTCCTTTAGAAAGTTAGCATTTTATATATAGTCTTTGCCTCAAGGGAGGATTAAAGGAGGAAGGATGTGAGCAGATGACTCAGAGATCTCTGTAGACAAAATATTTAAATTAGAAACATGAAATCCAAATGTTTATGTAAAAAAGCACATGTCCTATAATGTCAGCATTCATGAACCTTTAGCTTAGTAATTTCTCAAAGGCGAATAATGAACATACTCTCTTTGCTACTTGCTTCCAAAGAGGTGATCCTGTATGGCTGGTCAAGCCCTGTCATTTGATAACCAAAGCTCTTCTGTAGTGGAAGTAGTGCTTATGAAAAGGACATCCTGGGCGCCTGGGTGGCTCAGTTGGTTAAGCGACTGCCTTCGGCTCAGGTCATGATCCTGGAGTCCCTGGATCGAGTCCCGCATCGGGCTCCCTGCTTGGCAGGGAGTCTGCTTCTCCCTCTGACCCTCCCCCCTCTCATGCTCTCTGTCTCTCATTTTCTCTCTCAAATAAATAAATAAAATCTTAAAAAAAAAAAAAAAGAAAAGAAAAGGACATCCTAATCTCTGGTTTGCTCTCCCTGACTCTTGGTAATGCATGGCAGTGGATGGAAAAGATGTCAAGTGCGTCAGCTCCAACTTCACCTGCCTCCCGCCTTTGAGGATTGCCTCTGCCCCCACCCTCCAGTCATCAGTATGGCCAGGCCAGGTCCCCATATGCACAGAGTCTCCCCACTTCTGCTGACAGTCAAGCTGTCCCCAAGGGAGGAAATGAAATCTGATGGCACCAGATGCAAGAGCTTTGTGAGAATGACTTCCTTTAGCCATCCGTACTAGTGATGAAGTTGGCTTTTTAAAACAAATTGTGAGTGATGTTGAAGATTTAGTTTAGCCAAGTATTACATTTCTTACTGAAAATGATCCAATACTTTCCTATCTACCTACTATTTACCAGTCACAGTGCTAGGGGTTTTGTGTGTGTGTGTGTGTTTGTTCACATCTTTGTAAGAAGCCTAGAAGGTTTATATGATTGCCTCCATTTTATGGATGAAGTAATGAGGACTCAAGGAGGTTATATAACCTGTCAAAAGCCATCCAGTGCTCATGTTCAGGCCTGTTTGACTCCAATGCCAATTCTACTTTCGTTGCTGTGTGATCTGAATTGAATTTTATCTCATTTTTTATCTCACGGAATAATAGTTTATGAGCAGCTGTGACGTGGGCAGGCAGGAAGCAAAAGGAAGAAAGGGAGAAAGCACGACAATCTTCTAATAGTATAATCAATCTCTGAATCATTAAGACTTTAATAAAATGTTTTGTAATAGTTTATTTTTTAACCCTTATTCTATACCAGGCACAGAGTTACATTTCTAATTCTTACAAGTACTCTGACAGATAGATATTGTTTGATCCTATTGCACAGGAGGGGAGACTGAGACTCAGTGATGTTAGGGAACATGCCTAAGATCACACAGCTGCTAAGATGCTGAAAAGAAATGTGGATCCACTGAGACTGGCCCTCAGGCCTCTGCTCTTACACAAGGCCTCCTCTCAGAGTGTATTTTCAAATTATAATTTGATCGTCCATATTTTAACTATCTCATCTCACTATGATGTGATGGGATTTGGTCTTCAGAAGTCCCCCTGATAGTTTTTTATTTTTGTTTTTGTGTTTGTGTTTTAAATTAAGAGTTGAGCAAAAATGGCTTGCTCACTCACTTCTTCAGAATATATTTTAATTGGATGCTGTTGGCCTTAAATGAACCAGCTTACCCATGGAGTTGGAAATGAAGTAGATGCAATTTCTAGAATCAACTGTAAACCTGGAAATCCATTTAAGCATATAGCCTATCCTGGAAAACCAGCAGTGGCTGTGTCAACGTTAATGCTCCTACCTGTTACAGCCCAGCTATGGGAGAATCTTGGGAACAGAAACGACAGTGGCTTCTGCCACCAGGTAACCATCTGACCACTGGCAAACTTCCTTAAAGCACAGACTTTGCTTCTTCACTTGTAAAACGAGGGGATTATGCTTGAGTGAGGCCTTGAAGGGAAGGTGGGAGGGGACATGCTGCTACTTTCCTGTTCTAGGCAATTGTCAGTTGAAAGACCTTATGGAGGGTCAGAAGACTTGTTTCTGGATAACATTGTATCTTGGGGTCGTTTCCTGTAAAATAACCGACGTGGGCGCCTGGGTGGCTCAGACGGTTGAGCGTCTGCCTTCGGCTCAGGTCATGATCCCAGGGTCCTGGGATCGAGTCCCGAATCGGGCTCTCTGTTCCTTGGGAGCCTGCTTCTCCCTCTGCCTCTCTCTCTCTCTCTCTGTCCTCATGAATAAATAAATAAAAATCTTAAAAAAAAAATAAAATAAAATAACCGACGTAATTGCAGTGTGGCCGTTTTGAACTTGTCTGTCAATACTGTGTGTCTGTGCCTGTCTACCCCACGAGATGATAAATTTCTCAGGGCAGAGATGCATCTTGTTTTCCTCTGTGCCTCTGCACTTAGCACTGAGCCTGGCACCCACTCAACCCTGATGAAGCTTGCTGAACTGAGGGAATTGCAGATGTGAGCTGGAAGAAAGCGGAGACATGATCTGGCCCTGATTTTGCACTTGAAGAACCAAGGCCCAGGGAGGTGGAGTGACTGCCCCGAGTTCCACAGCTGGTTAGTGAGGGGCAGGGACTACCACTCTGAGCTTTGGCTTTCTTTTCTCTGGACCACTTCTCCACGAACTTCCTATGTCTCAACTTTCTCATCCATAAAATTGGAGCTAGACAATACTATCTGTGTCTGTTTAGGTATCTTTATTTATCATGATACCCCTGTCGGGACGTGCTACAGCGTAAGTGTCAAGAACATGGGATTCAGAGCCAGTCTTCTGGATTCCAAACCTGGTGTCATCAGGGTCTAACTATGTAACATGGGAAAGTTGTTAACCTCTCTGTACTTGAGTTTCATCCTCTCTTCACCTGTAAAATGGAGATAATTATCCTAGCTACCATATAGGGTTGTTGTGAGGAGTAAATGTGTTAATTGATGGAAAGTGCTTAGAAGAGCACTTCAGTAAGTACTGTTAAGTGACCCACGGCACACACTGCATGTGTCAGCTACTGTCTGCCTATTGTCTATGTAATGCGTTCAGCTATTCAGTGTTTCTTTGGATACCTACTATGTGCAAAGCATATCCACAGTTAAGTGGATGAGAAAGTGGCTAGAGGCAATGCCCTTGAACTTGAAGTCATGGTGGGGCAAGTGCAGCAGGTGGTTATAATTATAGAATAACCATAAAATGCTCCGTATCATGGAAACACTGAAGAATAGCCCCATGGAGGAGGTAATACTGGAGCTAATTAAACAAAGAGAAGGTTTTAAGCCAGACAAAGAACTGGGAAGAGCATTCAGGCCGAGAGAGAACAGGTCAGAGACAGGAAAGGGAGAGACTCTAAGATAGGTGTTAAGCAGCGAGTTGTCCTAGGTTCTAGTCTTTCAAGGTGAGGAAGGAGTGGTGGGAGATGAGTCGAAAGAGGGAGAGAGTAGAAAGGTCCTGTGTGGCCAGACCAAACCGCTTCAAATGGCAGTGAGGAGCCATGGATAGATTTTAAGCAGAAGTATGACATAAGGATCATTTTTTTTTTTTTTAAAGAAAGATCATTCTGATTTCAGTGTGGATGATAAATTGGGGTACGG